AGGGTATTAGACTTCTTTAATCTCAGTTGCCCAAAACTACTATCTAAAGTTATAAGACACTGTCCAAAAAAGACGATTCAATAGCAATTTCTATAGACAAATGGGAGGTGGATCTATCAGTCAGCTTTGACCAGAATTTCTGGTCTCAAACTTGTTTAACAACTTAAAAATGACCAGGAACCCCAATTTAAAATTAATTCAATACAAAGTTCTGCACATACAGGTCATCAGATATCCAGGATGGGGTGTGTGTCGTCTGACACCTGCACACATTGCACAGACAACATTCCTAACAATTATATCCACACACTGTGGTCCTGTCCACCTGTTGAGGGATTCTGGTGTAGAGTATATGAAGACCTGTCAATGTGATATCCCAACCTCCCCCTGATTTTGTTGGCTAGGAAACCTGGATGATGTCCAGATAGAAACCAATTTGGTTAACGTGGTTCTGACTGCCTTATGCATCACAAAGAAAACTATCCTCATAAACTGAAAAAATAAAGATCATCTTTGCATTAACCAGTCTAGAAATGTTTTGCTGGGTCATATTACACTTGAGACAGCCTCTGCCTCCACTTCAAATAAATGTCTCAAGTGGCCTTGTGGGTGGACTTATGGTACTGTGTGTGGGACCTTGGGAGGTCTTGACGATGGCCACAGGTTGCTGCATGATAGCTGTATCACCCCTGGGAGGGTCTGGGTGAGGGCATGGTGGCTAAGGGTGTGGGGGCGGCCATCCTCGGATGTGGATTTAAGCTGGGCTGGGGATTGATTCCTGCTTTGAATGTTGCCGGCAAGAGGGTGGGAGCATGCGGCTGTGCCTAGCCCTGGCTCGAGGGCCTAGGGTGGGCCTTGGTTCCTGTTTTACTGGCAAGAACACTTCTGTTCAGTCAGAAGGGGGATGTCCGGGAGGGGGAAGACCCAACTTTACCTTGAAGTCTATGTTTATGGTTAAGTATTTAGCAGACACTTTTGTCCAAAGTGACTTACAAGTGATAATCGGCATGTTGACCTTGAGGCTATCAACAACAATAACAACAACTTGACATCAATCATGGAGAGGAGGGAACAAAGGAGTGGATGGTAGAGAGGGGGGATGGGTGCAGGGAGGGTGCTAGTTTAGAAAATGCTCTCTGAAGAGCAGGGTCTTCAGGAGTTTCTTGAAAATTGAAAAGGAAGCTCCTGTTCTGGTAGTGCTTGGAAGGTCATTCCACATTTGTGGAACAATGCATGAGAAGAGTCTGGATTGTCCTGAGCGTGGTGTAGGCACTGCTAGCCAACGATCCTGTGATGACCGGAGCGGCCAGGTCGAGACGTAAGCCTTTGCAAGAGGATTCAGGTAGATGGGAGCCGTACCATCTCGGACTTTGTATGCTAGTGTTAGCAATTTGAATTTGATGCGTGCTGCTAGCGGTAGCCAGTGGAGCTCAATGAACAGAGGGGTGACGTGTGCTCTTTTTGGCTGATTGAAGACCAGACGCACTGCTGCGTTCTGGACCATTTGAAGAGGTCTCACAGTACAGCCTGGAAGACCAGTTAGAAGGGCATTGCGGTAATCGAGGTGGGAGATGACAGTAGATTGCACCAGGAGCTGGGTGGCATGTTGTGTTAGGTATGGTCTGATCTTTCGTATGTTATACAGCGCAAAGTGGCATGAATGAGCAACAGAGGCAACATGATCTCTAAAGGTCAGGTGTTCATCAATCACAACACCCAGATTATGAACTGCCTTTGAAGGAGCCAGAGAAAGGAAGTCATTTTGGATTGAGATATTGTGCTGTATGGATGTTTTTGCTGGGATGACAAGTAGTTCAGTTTTAGAGAGGTTGGTTGGAGATGGTGGGATTTCATCCATTTTGATTTGTCAGAGAGACAGTTTGATATTCGTGCTGAGACAGTGTGGTTGTCTGGTGGAAATGACAGATAGAGCTGGGTGTTGTCTGCATAGCAGTGGTAGGAGAAGCCATGTGATCGCATGATCTCACCCAGTGAGGTGGTGTATATGGCAAAGAGAAGAGGTCCTAGTACAGAGCCCTGGGGGACTCCTGTGGCAAGATGGTGCACGGTAGAGGATTGTCCAAGCCAAGATACACTGAATGATCATCCTGTGAGGTGCAATTCAAACCAGGTGTGTGGTCTCTATGTCTTACGTAGTCTGGAAGTTGATCAAATGCTGGGATGGGAGTAGATATTCTGCTGGGGTGGAGCTGAGTTGGACTCCATGGGGTTCTGTGATGCTGTTGCTTAGGACCCTGGCTAGATAGGCTGGGGTCTCTATGCCCCAAGTGGATTCTGGGAATGGGGTTGCCTATTGGGGCCAGTGGGGGAACTGGCTCCCTGGAGTGTCTAGGACCCCCAGCCATCCCTCCCCATCTTCAGACATTTTCCGTCTCCTGCTCATTCACATCACCACACAAACATGCACATAGGACCTTGGGGTGTGAGTAAGTCAGGGGGTGCGTGTATGGTTCCCATTTCCACAGTCCCATGGCGGCTTGCACCCCAATTTTAATTTGCACATTAAACACGTCCACCAACAATATTCCACGCAAATGCACACTTAGGCCCTTGGCAGTGAGCACACCCAACGACACCTGGCGGTGGGATCTTCCAGCCTCACCCGTGAGTGCTGGTGCCCACTTCCAATTTTAAGCTGAAGGTAAGTGGGGTTGAGTCAAACGATGCCTGCAATGTATTAACATGATTAACATCCAAACACGATGAGGACACTAGGTTTCATCAGACAAGTCCAAGAATGTAGCCTTCACTTTTAAAAACAGAACAAAAAAATAAATAAAAACAACTGAGTGGATATCACCTAATATTTAAGAACACATACTAACAGTAGTATCAAATACTGAAGGATGGCATTAATATTTGAGCTAAGAAACCTAATATCAATAAGCAAAGCAGGTCAATGTGGGGGATATGCTGTATAAACACATTTAACCCTGAATAGAAAAATCAAGTAAAAAAGAAAAAACTGTTGCTTGTTTCAGCATGTGAGTTAATTTCTTCATAAAAAGTTGGCAAATGTGCTGAAATAAGATCTTTAAATCTTTTAAAATATTATTCCAGTTTTTTAATAACTTTTTTTTGCCATGAACTACAAGCAACTTTAAATTTCACATAAAAAATCACCACCAATAATGTCAGCACGAGATCTACATAGACATGTTTCAAATGTACATGAGTTGGGTGGAATGAATGACATTGTTATTTAAATAGATTTCTCAAGGACGGTGCTGATTATTTCCACTTAAAACAATTCCAACACTTCTCAGGGGCAGCCACTAGAGGTAGTTTTGTGCAGCATGTTTTATCCCATTGCAGATAAAAAAAATGGTCAGTAGATGGAGACGTGGAGTTTTATTAAAAAGTGTTTTCCTCCCTCTGATGGCTTTGGAAGGTCCGTCTGATCCACTAAACTTTCTAATGTTGTTTAAATTTAAGTATGTGGACTGAGAAATTCGTTTTTTGGCGTACAAAACGTAAATTATTTGGACACACGTGATATAAAACATATACATATAAAAAGCTTTTATGTTTTAGATACTTTTCAAACGATTTTCTTTGACAAGTGGATCAGCTCTGAGCTAGAGCCATAGCCCCGTCCTAATCTTACATAAGCGCACCTTACGCTGCTCGGAAGCTGATTGGTTGAGAACATGATCCACGTATGAAGCCACTCACGACCAAAGGGATGAAATGTTGTTCTAACTTTCTGGAACCGTCGTCACCAAGTGAGCTGTCATCATTCACCCGGATTCTTCTTACGTCGAACTGACGCAAGACTATATGTTGCGTTCAGGAACTCCCGGTAAACTGGGACACCAGTTTAGATTGTGTGGTATATATATATTTTTTTTACATTTCACAAGTGTTTCTGTCACACGTGTTGCATTTAATACACAAAAGGGACGTGATATTATTGTAGAAAAGCTAGAACTATCACTTTTTAAATAAATAACTAAATTAATTATGTTATTTATTTATTTATTATTTTATATTTTAACCTTAACTGAACCTTTTCCCAGTGTTTCCTCTGTGGGAGCCCTCTGCCCCGGGTCAGCTGTGGCGGCCTGGGTGCTTTCCAGGTGTGCCTGGGTGGAGGCGGCGGTCCCCGCCCTCCCTGCCCTGGGCGCCCTGTGTCGGTGCCTCGGCTGCTGCTGTGGATCTGCTGCAGTCGGTGCGGATGGCTCCCGTGTTGGCGTTTCCTTAGCTGGTCTGCTTCATCTAAACTCAGTCCATTGTGTTTTTTCCATGGTGTGTGTGTGTGTGTGTGTGTGCGTGCGTGCGTGCGTGTGTGTGTGTGTGTGTGTGTTTGTGCCAGAGGATGAGTGTTGTGAAGGGTTTTTTATTCTCAGACTGTTTTTAAACTCTGGGGATGGGAGGGAATATGGGTATGCGGGCCCTTTTGAATTCGTTAAGCACTTTGAGTTACATGCATTGTATGATTAAGTGCTATATAAATAAAGTTTAACTTAATTTGATTTGATTGAATTGTTTCATAATAAAGAAGAACATGTAATAATCAGCATCTTCTGAAGGCTACTCAATTTATGCTTTACCCCAATTAAAAATTGAGCCAAATACAAAAAACAACTACATGTAATTTGTTTTGTTAAAACAACGCAGCTTCAAGCTTATGCTCCATGTGAAATTGCAGGAAACTGATGATTAGCTTATTCGAGATATTTCCCACACTCCGCGAACGTCTCAAAAATGAAGGCGGCACCTGGTTAGCAAGCCGTTTTATCACATAATATTTAAACGATAAACGTGAGTATCTGAATTAGAATTTTCATTAGGAGACACTTTAATTTTACATAATAATATTCCTTTATCGAGAACCTTAATTATTCATTTTAATCTTTGAAATTCGTTATCAAATCAATTCCAATTATTTATCATGTCATTTGAAAGTGAATAGGAAAAAAAAGTGACGGTTGTTGGCTGCATAAAAGCAGCCTCTGTCATGGCCAATGCGTTTGGCAAACTGAAAAGCTGCTTGGATAATAATAAGAAGTGTTATTGACTTGTAAAGACTAAAAGTATAGGCTTTTTGATTTTATGACATAACGGTCTGGCATACATTCCTCACTAACAATGCACACCGACCTCCAACGAGAATTCAAGATGCCACATTGAAGGGGAACAAAAAGGCGACCTGACAGCGGTGTTTGCACTCCCTCCACTTTTCTCCGAAATAGTCACGGGATTTCAATGTTCAGTCTGCTCTTCGTAAGTAACGAGACCACTAACGAACACAATCCCGGTATTGTGTTTTTGTGAGATGGTTGTTGCTTTGTGTGTAAAAGTTTCAGAACATATCTTGGTAATCTGAAGTACAGGCAGCCCAAGTTCCATAGGGGTTTGTCTGAGAAGGCGAATAGCCTAGCTTGCAGGGAAAAAAAGCTTTGGGCGGTAAAACTGTCAGGAATTTGTGATAAAAGTATTGACTTTTAATCTTTCGCTTATTTCTTCAGTCGATGTTATCCAATGTGACGGTTGTTAGCTGTTAACCTATCGAGAGTTGACGTATCCGGGCAGGTCTGGCTAGTAGTTGCTAGTAAAGCCGCTTAGCAGCGGCGCTAACCCCTCAGCTACCGTGGCTGTTATTACTATTTCCTAACAGAAGAGGAAAAATCCCCAACTAACGCGGGTTGTAATCGACGTTTAGAATCACTCCTTGATGGTGTCAGAAGGAATTGTTGCTCACCAGAACATACTGATTTGCCCCCTAGCTGTTCTAGCACAGGTAAGGTTAGCTTTAACGTTAACTAATGCGTGGGATAACGTTCTTCTCTCTTTAGCAACACTCAGCGCAGCGGCACCATGTTGTAGAACACAGAACTAGTTCTTATCGGTTCGGATTGAGATTCGGTTTGGTGTTTTTAAACGGGGCTAGTTAGGAGGGAGACAGATTTGGAGTAACCAGATGGCGACTGAGCTGGTTTAGTAGCGCCCTTCCGCCCCGGCGTGTGACCAATCTTAACCCGCGGCATGGCCAGGCTCAGGCTAACCTTTCAGCCAGAAAGGACCGAGCCGGTGGTGATTCGTTTGGTTTTGAGTGGTTATTTTTAGTACCGGTGTACCACTTTTCTTACGATCGACTGTCAGATTTCACTTACAAGTAGCTTGTGCGTGTAAAAACGTTGCCAACTTTGAGGTTAGGCGTGTCTGTAATGAATCCCTTTTTGTTGTCGTTTCCTTAACGGAAAGCACCCCACCATGTAGCCATGTGGGCTGGGGAGGAACGAGGAAACGCTCCCGGGGAGGAAGTTGACTTGAGCAGCTGAGAATCTAAAGACCGCGGTCTCCGTGCTGGTAGTATATAATGTAAGGGTTGTTTTAGCCAGGCCTGCCAACCTGGGCGGATGAGCCAGTAAGTAACTGATGGAACAGGTAAGCTCTCACCTGCAAGGTACCACCTTACTTTTCATGAGTGTAGAGCGTGATGAGAACTGTTGCCCTGGGATAACCAGACTTGCATAACCTGACTTCTTGTGGTTTATAGGTGATTTACATTTGATGTATATGAAGGTGAATACGTTCTATTTTTCCATATTGAATTATATGTTGGGTTTTATGATTAAACGTTATTTTACGTAATAATGCGTTCTTAAAGTGGATTAATAAAATAAACAGATCAAATTGACTTTATTAATTAAACTACAGCAAATTGTGCTTAAATAATAAAGCCAAAGTCATTCTAGTATTGTCATTATTTTGCAAAACTTCTTCATACAAAATGAGAAATAATTGTGAAATAAATTCACTTCACTTATAAAGTTAAAAATCCACACTAAATGTGGTATTAGTCACATGAAATATAGTGTTTCACTTTCACATAAGGATTATTTGACTGTCACTGATGATGATGTTCGGGATGCTTAACCAGGAGTCAGCTGACTTGAGTTTGACTAAAAGGATGATAATCGTGAGAGGCAGCACTTTGCCTAAACAAGCCTGGGCTAGTTCATTCCACAGCTGCAAAGTCTTTAATGATCTCTTTATCTGTTGGTGTGTTTTTGTGTGAAAGACTGAAAGTTAAGCTAATGCATCTCCCCTCTGTTCTGATCAGACTTATTGTTTGTTTAGGTTGTTGCATGTTTTCTCAGGGGTATGGTCAACCGTGCTTCAGCAAAATAATTCTCCACCCAAATCATAACTATTGTTTGGATATGTTTTCCTGTGAACTTGGTGTCAAGTGTGTCATTTTCCTACAACAAACCTCTTCACCTCAGCTCACTCTAGTTCCCCCACCCTTACCCAATCGCATCACACAAGCAGACAGAGGCTGCAGGGGCCAAAGTCTCATTTATTGTCATAGTCATTATAAAGTGTTAAAGTAGTTTGTTAGATCACATCCACATTTAAAAAAAAAACATGACTTTCTGTGTTTTAGTATCCAGTTTTGCAATTGTCCTCTTCCACACGGCATAGAAATATAAATGACCCGGTATAAAATTAGAATATATACAAATGTTTATTTTAGAGGTACTGAAAAAAATCAATTCAAGTCTGAATCAGGATTCTTATTTATAAAGATTCAGCTTCGATTCACAAAGGTTCAGAATCGATTCCAAGAACTCAAATATGTGGCATGTTACAGGTTTGAGATGCACTTTTTTGATCTTTGTTAGGAGAGTCAGTACTCCTGTCCCATAAATTGAGATGATTTATGTTTGAATCTGCTGATAAGTGGGCACTTGAATGTAATTTTTTCCATACTCTGAAATTTGAGATATTCTCATATTTATTTTCTAAGTTGATAAATGAGTACTCAGGATTACTCATGTAACTTGTTTCTACACATACTTGAAAAGTATTTGACCGCATTACTTTCAAAGCTACTGTTGGGTAACTACAGATTAGTTATATTTTACAAGGTAAGCAACAATAAATGTTGCCTTTTGGTCTAAAGATTGCTTCTGATTACAGTTTTAGAATCACTTTATTTTACATTGTAAATTTGCATTTTTGGTCCATGACCAGTTTAAAGTAAAATAAAAATGTCCCATAGCTTTAACTAACTTGTACAACGAAGTAGTTAATCCTGGAGCTGACACTCTTTGTTAAGACTGATTGTGAATCGATTTAAATTGAGAATCGATTCTGAATCGAATCAAATCATGAGTTGCTCTAAGATTCACATCCCTAGTTTCTTTCTTTATCTGCCACAAACAACTATTTTAATAGTCGACTAATCACCAGTTTTGTTGACGATTAGTCGAGTATTCATGTCATTCATAAACATTTAGCTTATTGTGCCAGGATGCTCTAATATACCCATCATTAGCTTCTAGTCTAGTCTGTGCCATCTAATAATAAAGACGAGATGATGGCTTATCAAATAGAGCTGCAACTAACGACTATTTTAATAGTCGACTAGTCACCGACTGTTGAAACGATTAGTCGACTAACCGGATAATTATTCAATTTTCTTAAATTTAGCATGAGATTGCTTTAGCTATGTGAAAAATGATAATAAACACAAAAAAGATGAGTACTTCAATGGAAAATGCATATTTTATTGAACTTTGCTGCTGATAGGCCAATTCATACTAAAATAAAAATACCCTGTCTAACACCAATTAGGCACAGTGCCCTGTCAGTATAGACATAAATGCATAAATAAAATTAAAATACTTTTGTCAGGCACAGTCAGGCATAACCTTAAATCTCTCTTTTTAAAGTGAAAATACGTTTAAAAAATGTACAATGTACATCCAAAACAAAACGTATTGGCTTTCGTGTTATTAAAATCTTACTGAGGTGAGTCAGACTCTGTTTCATTCAACTGTCCGACGTGCTTTCTCATCAAGTGTTCATGCATCTTCGAGGTGCTGCCGTAATATGCAAGGACTGCTTTGGAAATAATTTAGGTAAACTTTATTCGCAGAATCCAGGCTAGAATGCTCACAGTCTTTAGATGTTTTGGTTCGCGTAGCTGCTGTGGTGTACGCTGCCACTTCTGTTAGTTGGCGCTCAGCTGAGAAGCTATTGCCTATGTGTGACTCTCGGCAGAGATTGTAATGAAGTGAGATGCCTCACTCGGTCGGAAAAAACACATCTGGCGACAACGTTGACAATGAAATTCATTGTCGACTATTTCTATTGTCAATATTTGTCGACAACATTGACGAATCGTTGCAGCCCTATTATCAAACAACATTTGATTAACTTTGTAACCTGTTAATACAAATGCTACAGTCAGATGGAGGTAGGCACCTAAAACCAAAAATTTATTGTGTTCACAAGAGGCATGGTGGCAAAGTTGAAGCGCTTCATCCTCCTATCTTAACTCAGGAAATAGCAGGACCTACCAAGGTACGCCTCTGTATCACAGCTGGTCCTCACATCAGCAGTCAGGGATCATCAACAGTTCTGAGGGTCTGCTTTATTGTAAAGGTAAAATTTATTAAAGTTAGTTTATTTACCAAATTAATAATTCTGTTATCCAATAAAGTAGGTTAAGAAAATGTATTGTGCTTTAAAAATATTAGTTTCTTAATTGCTCAGTCAGCAACCTTTTAGGCCTAGTCCACACGTAGCCGGTTTTTTTTAAAAACGAATACCCGCCCCTCCAAAAACTTGCATCCACACCACCGCGTTTTAAAAACAAACTCTGTCCACACGTACCCGGATAAATACGTTGTTAAGGACATGCCAGACCTGTAGGCGGCAGTACTTCCCCCGTTCTTAACTTCGTCCTTCATCTGTGGTCTTCCGCAAGGAGCAGTAATTCCGCTTGCAAAAACAAACAAGCAGAAAGCGCTTGGACAATTGATGGATCGGGTAGTGACAGAGCTTAGCTCTGAAGGCTTCCATGATGCCGGCTAGTGTAAACACAGGTCGCACACGTGATGTCAGCATTGCTTTGTCGCGGAAAGTGACGTTGCGGACCTTAAAACTCCGGTTTTGTCCGTCCACACGCAGACACCCAAAACGGAGAAAACGCAGATCTTCACTTTGGCCGGAGTTTTTAAAAAGATCCGTTTTCGTGTGAAAAAACTCAGTTTTCGTGTGGATGACAGGCCAAAACGTAGAAAAATATCTACGTTTTGGCAGATCCCCGGCTACGTGTGGACAGGGCCTTAGTTTTATCATAAAATGCATTTTATTCTAATGTTTTATAAAGTTATTCGTGTCCAGAGAGAAACAGAAACAAAGACTCATCTCTCACTCACTCACTCTCACTCACTCACTCACTCACTCACTCACTCACTCACTCACAC